AATAGGTTTTCTGCAAACAATTAACTTCTGATACATTGTTAGTTTACATTGAGAGGAAAACAGTGTCTCCCCTTCTGATTTTGCATCAGGCCCCCCTGCCAAGCTCAATCAGGACACAGAGGGCAGGAATATTCACAGGCTGTGAGCCTGAAACAGACCTAGAGCACACAGGGGCCAATATAGTTAGCTCTTCTTTCCCCCCCTTTTTGTGTTAGCCAGTCCAATGGGTGAGGGGAGGGGCCCCAGTAGTGGCCCATCAGGGGGAGAGTGGGGCAATTGAGCTGCCCTCAGTAACTGAAGCAACTGTTTTTCCGCTCGCTGCAAAAGTGGTGACCCTTCCCCCCGAGGGTCAGTGGTAGCCTAGTCCATAAATACCACACCATCCACTTGGGTTGCCACATTGCCTCTTTTTGTTTTAAAAACATGATTTTCAATATAGAACGCACATCTCCTGCACTTGGGATTAAGTCAAAGTTTTTGCTTTGTTCTGTTCTCTCTTTCTCTCTTCTTTTCCCTTTTTCTCACTTTTTCTCCCCTTCTTTTTCAAGAAAGACTCAAACACACATCAAAACTATCTCCATGCGCATATCTTAAGACAACAAATAATCTGGCATTTTTTTAGGTTTGTCAGGATTCCCAAAAGCACAAACCTTGAGATACGTGTAAGCAAAGCAACTTTATCTTATTACTTGCGATAGCATTCAACACATACCAACCCTGGAGTTCCCAAAAAGTCACTGAGCAGGGGAGGGAGACAGAGCACAGTACACGGTAGTGGGGGGCACAGGCAGGCCACGCACCCCCAGGGTGTCCCCCAGATCAAAGTGGTGTGCATCCCATTTTCCTCACCCGAGTGGCACCTTCCAATTGTGACACTGGTTCACATGTGACCACCACATGAACTAAAAATCATAATAGCTTATGATACCAACTTCCTACTAACAATGGTTCTGTTGAAACCCCTCCAAAAATCAAGTTCCCAACAGAAACAAGTGGTTATTGACTTATTCTTGGAAAGGAACAGGAACAGAAGAGTTGTAACACAAATCTGCTGGGACTTCCAGTGAAGTGTCTCATTCAGGAAAGTTTTGTGATGCAGATTACTAATGTTAGAGTTTACCTGCAGTTAATGAAAGTACTGAAACTCCAATCCAGAAAGCACAAAACTGTATAATTTTACTTACATTATCTGCATGGTTTGCTTTTTGCAGTCTTTTTGGTAAACTGGTGTTTAAATACCGCTAGAAGCCTAGTTCAACCTGCAGTCTAATTTACTATACACTTTATTTTCCATGTTACTCTCTAATGCACTTCCTTGTACAATAATATCTTAAATAACTCAAAATAATTAATTATGCACACTTTATAAATTGACTGCATACATTTACAAATTAAAGGAACCTTGGTACAGTTCTTGCTCTACTTTTTGTTGTGCTCACACCTGTTAGGGGTGGACATACTCTAAAATTTTGACCTGTTTATGAGATGCCCAACTTTTTAAAACAGTGGCTGAAGTTACCTACCCTGGGACAGGAAGCACAGCAGAAGGGACAATCTTTTCAGCAATGCTCAGAATGTCAGAACACATACTCCTGTTCAGCTGCACACTTGCCATGAATCTCCATTTCTACAGCCGTTTGAAAGACACTGGAGTGACTTTCTCAGGCAGTTTACTCCTTTCTCATTGCCAGGTGATTCCAGACTCTTAGAAAGTTCCCAGCTTTCAGATTTGGAGTATGAACTGTGACAGTAGTGGTAGTAGAGGAATTTATTGTTTAGGGTGAGGTGGGGGTTTGATTGGTTTAGAAAACCCAATCCACCCCAGCAAAGATTACACCCACCTTTTACCAGGTGAAGTTCTGATTGATAAGTTTAAGGTAAACATATGCAGGTATTCTTCCCAAGAATGTCAAGGCAGTGGAAGGACTGAAAAAAGGTTTATTTCATATGCAAGGACCACTTTTTTACCATGCAGCACATCGGACCTTCAGGGGCAGAAATCCTTTTATCCTCTGTCTGTTTCTCCCCTGCCTTCCCAAGGCCTCTGTGCATGTCTGTTAGGACTATCTCTCACATACCAGAGAGACGCTGAAAACTTCTCTTTCTATATGGAGGGGGAAGGGAGGGAAGCATTGAAACTGCCTTTGAGAAAGAGTTATCATTTAGGCAAAAGACCTTCCTAGTGAAAACTGAATTTCTAACTTTTCATTACAAATTCTTCTGGAATTGTATCTATCCCTACAATAATGGTACAATTTGTTGTAACAATATGGGCAAAATATCCAATGGTACAGAGGACAAAAAAGATGGGAAACTAGCGTAGCTTCTCCCTTGTTTCACTTTCCAATCCCTGTCTTCTCTAATACATGATCCATATGACAATCTCTGATAAGTTATAGGAGTGCACAGTTAGTAATGTTACCTGTCATTGTATGTGCACACTGAGAATGAACTCCGATTTTCATATTACAATGGGTAGGTACTTCACTGGTCTAGGAGAAAGCCGTTATCTGTAATACACTGATTCAATGACGGATTATATTCCAAGGATGATGTAAAAGTTGATTTAACAGGAATACCAAGTTCACTTACGAATAACCTAGCTCATTAAAGGAGAGGAAACAGTATTAAGCAATGTCTTACAAGTTTTCTCTGATTCAACTAATTACAGAAGCAATGGTTGTAGCAACAAGGGCTCAATACCCAGCTGTGAACATTGCAGATCAATTCACTCAAGACCTGACAAAACCAGGTAGTGGTAGGAAACAATGCTTCTCACCAGAGGCATTTGGAGGGCATAAATAATTATCAGAATAATTAATTATCTGATAGGAGAAATTACAGTTGCAAGAACAAGACTGGACCTCAGTTACAGTTCAAGGACTGCCTGCATAAAAAGGTGTACCTTGTTAGGCATATCTTAGGTAGGATTTTAGGGAAAATAAATCCTAAATAGCAATCCAAAACTGCTGAAATGGTTTTGTTTTGAATCTTTGAAAGAGCACTCTGGTTTGGCAGAGAGGACAAAACAGGAATTCACTTTTATTCATTAGTAAGCACAGGGACATCTAAATGGTTCAAAATTGGGGTGCAAGTCAGTAGCATAATGCATCTTCTCAGGAGGAGAAAAAGCTAGACTTTATAATGAAGTCAGTAGCTTTATGATCTCCTTCTGCCTGGGGCCTGTCTCCAGGTTTAAAAGATTTTGTTACCACTTTGGATATTTATAACTCAGAAGCTTTAATAACAATTTTTTAAAGTAACTTATTTTTAAATAAAATCCTGGTTTATTATAATTTAAATTCCACAAGCATGTTAAAGAGATTTTAGTTGGAGAGTGTTGTTTTTTTTTTTTAAGATAGAACTGCAGCATTCTAAACCATTGCAATAGAATATAAAGCAACAATTCTCTTGCACCATGCCTCTGTTGTCCTTCTTCAGGAAAGAAAGGCACAAGATTTCCAGGAAAATAATTAATGGAAGTATCATATCAAGACTTTCTGCTTTTAGTAAGTTAAATAAATTTTGCATATAGCATAACTCCTTTAGCTCATCCACAGATTTGACATGAAAAATCTAAATTTTCTCCCTTCCCCCCCTGACTATCAAGATAAGCACTTCAGAGTACAAAAGACCTAGTTCCATGGTTGATGGCCAGACATTAGTCTCCTAGGAGACAAGGCAGATAAGGACTTGCACTTTACTTTTTTCTCTCGTCTCCTGGGCAACGAAGTGGGTTGGGGGGGGGGGTGGTTGGCACGCAGGTTGGGAGAGGAGAGGCTGGTGTGTCGGTGGGCTCATGGACCTGCTGCGAGCTGCAGACGCTGCCTGGTTTTTTTTCCTGTCGGAGAGGAGTTTACTGCTGCTCTCTGTCCGGTGTTGCTGGCTGCAGGTCCTGCTTAAAGCGAATCCTAACCAGTTGAAGTTCCTGAGTTTTCTTCCACTGGGAGAATTTTCTGTTTTATTACTGTTTTTTTTCTTCCCCCTTCCCCCTCCCATTCCCTCTCTCCTTTCCCAGTGTGGGAAGGGGAACTGAGTTGTTTTTTTTTTTTGGTTTTTGGTTTTTTTTCTTTCCCTCTGACATACTTGGAGGGTATTGTTTTTCCCCCATCCCACGTGGCAGTGACCAGGGATCCCACAGCGCCTCCTGGTGATGGGCACTGGACATTACAAGGTCTGCACCTCCAGTGATCCAACAGCGTCACCTGGTGGCTACTATAGGACACTACAAGTTCTGCATCTCCAGTGACCGAACAGCACCACCTGGTGAATGGTACAGGACATTACAAGTTCTGCATCTCCAGTGAACCGACGGCACCTCCTGCTGACTGTGATTGGAATTGTACCAAAGGGTGCAAAAATTGAACTATTTACTCTTCCTTTTGCCAGTTTATCGGTTTGTTTTTTAGGGGTTATTTGTGGGTATAGGAGTGTTGTTTGGTTGTTTTACTTGGTTTTTTTTCATGTTTCTGTTAATACACACATACCTTTTAATAAAGGGCTGTTATTTTCCCTTTTCCATAATTTGTTTTCCTTCAGTCGGAGCCTCCTAATTTTGGATTCATAATTGCTTAGAAAGAGACGTTTGGGTCTTTTCTCCTAACCCATCCTCAGCAAAAGACCCTTGTCTCATTTAAACTGGGACAGATGAAAACCTAAAGAATTGCACTAGCAGTTAGTGAAATTAAGATACTAAGATACATTTACCTTCCAAAGCTAGATTTATTCATAAGTTATTTAACATAAACTCTAATCACACCAAATAGATGGTAGATGAAAAGTAGTTCCAGTGAGGAAAATGCAAGAACTTCAGTTTTCAAACATTTTAAATTAACAAATGTACTAGCCACCATTTTTGTGGCAAAAGATACTCTCTCCTGTAAGCAATAAGGGGTTTTATTCGGCTAAAATGCGCAAAGAAAAAAGTCTCAAAGTGAGAGGAGAAATATTACCAGAACATATTGGACACAAGGGAATAAAATCCTTTGGATCGAATTCCTTTAGTCCATTTTCTTGTCACAAACTTCAGTAGATCTTATTGCAGCAATTCCAATTGCAACGCCATTGCTTTCAAACTGCAAATAAAAGACAGAATCATTAATGGGATGTCAAAAAAGGACTTCACACCCAGAATAGTAACAGCTAGTGATGATAATGGCTTTTAGAAGCAAGGCTGGTGATGATCTATGAAGAAATCTGCAGCAAGAACCAAAATGGTGGTGTCTCTTTAGATTTACAGATAATTATTGTTTCAGGAGGGGAATAAAGGCAGAGACAAGATATACAAGTCTTTGCATTTTGATAGAAGAGATAATAATAAATGCACAATTTAGAAGCACTAAATATTTTCCCCCATTTCAAGTGGCAGAGGTGGTTGAAGACTGGAGGGGGGGGGGAGGGGTGTTAAATTCGGCTTCATATATCTGGTGTGATGTACTAATTATTTGACTTTTTTCTTCCCTGAAAGAATAACTGGTCATTAAAAAAAAAAAAAAATAACTAAACTGTTTCAGAAAAAAAGGTGCAATTCCTATCCTTCCCAGACCTACCAGAAGCTGTCTTGAAGCAACTATTTCTAGCTGGTTCAGTACTAGCAACTCCCTTTCATAAGAAAATAGCCACAAAAATGTCTGTAAAAACACACAACAATTTACTCTTCCGTGGTGCCCACCCTTAACTACTGCTGGATACTTTATTCTCAGTTTCCCTGTTGAGCTAAATGCATTAATCTTACTTTATAAATTCCAGATTCATCCTCCTGATCTCTTTTTGTGGCTGAAGGTGCCTGTGGATTTCCAGCGCTGCCTCCCTGATCTTGTTTTGTGGCTACTGTTTCTTGCACAGCTTTTTTGGGCCACACATGCTCAATGAAAGGTGCAATAATGGGACAGATATACGGTTCCAGAAATTTCTTGTAGACCCAGACTGGAATGACAATACAAGGAATGCACACCATGACTTCCTCTTGTTCTGTAACAAAGCTAGTGAGGAAAAAAAACAATGTAGGATGACAGGGTTTGTATGCCATGAGCTAAGACAAGTCTTTAAATAACAAATAAAGATTTTAGTTGATGTTCAAACATAAAAGATTCTTAAATTATAGACTAGCTGTTAATGTTTCAAAAATGCATGTTTCAACTTTATAAAGTTCTCAACAAGGGAAACATTCTTGATATTTTAACAAAAAAAGCAACTTGCTATTAATTCATCAGTCCTAGAGCTGCAGCTTATAAAAACAAATTCAGAAAATAAGTTTTTTATTAAACCACACAAAAAGAATTTAAGTAGCAAGCTGCAGATATTAGCCCAGTTCTTACTATATTATAATGGAGGATCCAAAAGGTTTGTTTTTCTTACTCCCTTTTCAAGGTGAAATTAAATGGCAGGACTCTAATCCACCCAATGGCTTGCTACCACTGAAAGGCAGGTTGGTGGGAGGGGGGAAGAGAATTCCAGTTAGGATTTGAGAGAAGAATATGGGTTACTTCCTCCTGTATAGGAGGAATCACTTGATCCCACACCAATCCCATTCAATTGGCCAAACTGTTAGAAAATTAATCCTTCTCTCCCAAAACCAGGAGGAAGTCTTAAAAACAGCAACCTGTAGTCTGCAATGAAAAAAAGAGGGAAACCAAAGCACAGGGGAAGAAAGGTAAGGGCAGAAAGATACAGATGGGAGTGGAAACAGTTAAGTAGTATGTAATGGTTTTGGTCTAGGCCTTCCTGGTGACCAGCTTGTAACCAAGGAAGTGACCATGTCCCCAGTATTCCATACAATTTTTACGTAAACCAGATTATAAATAAGTCGAAGATTAGAGACCTCGCTCTCTTCTCTTCCAGCGAGGTTCGGGAACAGTGGGTCCTTGCATTGGTCTTGCTTATCTAAGACTGAGGTCTGCAGCGTCCACTGTCCTGCCACGTGGAGGTTTGGAGAGTGCTGGTCGTGTCTGTCAATCCTGCTTTTCTAAGGGATGTGGTGAGATCTGTTTTGCTAGTTATTAGTATAGTTCTTGAGTTTGATTGCGTATACATGTTTGGTGTCCCTTTTTGTCCCCTTTTGTCCCTTTTTTCCCCTTTCCCTATCCCTTTGGGGGGTGTTTGGATTCCCTTTTACTGTGTACATAGCATCTTAACTGTATATAACTGTAATATATGTAAATATGTGTATTTTTATATAAGTAGTTTGACTTTGGGTTCTTTAATTTTTATAGTTTTTTTCCTTTGCCCTAAGGGAAGAAGGGAGGGGGGAAGGGGGCTGCTACTGTGAGTTTCGGGCATTTGGCAGGAAACCGGGTCCGAACTATCACGGTAGGATTAGAGGTGTCCATTTCAGTGCTGATGAGCAATATATACACTCTGCTGCACAGCAGCAACTTTGTCCTTCACATTCCTCCTTTCTAGTATGCTATTTGAATTCTGACATTAAGAAGCAAAACAAAAACTTTCCAAGATGGAAAATGAAGAGGCAGATATGCACACTTCATCTGGGATCAGTTTCACTTTTTTTTTTTTAAGCTATCCAAAAGATTTTTAGCCCTATGGAAGATCAGAATATCAGTTTTTAGTTGACTACTTCCAAGGGTAGTTTTGACTGCTTCAAATATAGTTTTACCGGATCTACTTTTTGAAGTTAGAGAGAAATCTTCAGTTGAGAGAACACAAATGAGTTAATCCTTTAAAGCCATTCAAAAAGATAATTCTGATACTCTCTTCACCAGAACTTCCTAGATACTAAATTTCCAACATTATCTTGTGGATTCATCCACCAGCTAAAGAACATGGCTGAAGGGAACACCCCAGGTTGTCCTTCTGAGGTAACTGCATGTCTCTGCAGCCACTTTGTGTCAAGATTCCAGATCAAAAATTCATACCTCTGCCAGATGTAAAAGCAAGCCACTAGAAGTATAATACCCATCCTAATACAGTGAAATACCATTCACAAATTTCTTCTGTGATTTGGTGATGCTCTGTTGCTTGGTTAGCAAGTAAAAAAAAAGAAGAGCAAAAGGGCAAATGGTCAGATTTTAATAGCAAGATTATTCCTTTGTGATAGCAGCTTTTGGGTTTATCTGTAAGCCACCATACATTAGGGGCATCAGAGAGAATATGTCTGACATGGCAAATTAGAGTATGTTAGGTCTTTGTTTCCCATGTTAGTCAACTATTATGGAAACAGAAAAAATACTATGGAGACAAAAAGGCTTGTTTTTTCATGGAATCATAGAATCATAGAATTAACTGGGTTGGAAGAGACCTCTGAGATCATCAAGTCCAACCCTTGATCCAACCCCACTGTGATTACTAGATCATGGCACTCAGTGCCACATCCAGCCTCGTCTTAAAAAACCTCCAGGGACGGTGAATCCACCACCTCTCTGGGCAGGCTATTTCAATGCCTGATCACTCTCTCTGTAAAGAACTTCTTTCTACTATCCAACCTAAACCTCCCCTGGCAGAGCTTAAGTCCATGCCCTCTTGTCCTACTGCTGATTGCCTGGGAGAAGAGATCGACCCCCATCTGGCTACAACCTCCTTTCAGGGAGTTGTAGAGAGTGATGAGGTCACCTCTGAGGTTCCTCTTCTCCGGACTAAACAACCCTTGTTCCCTCAGCCTCTCCTCATAGGACTTGTGCTCAAGTCCCTTCACCAGTTTGGTTGCTCTTTTCTGGACCCGTTCCAGCACCTCAATGTCTTTCTTGAACTGAGGGGCCCAGAAATGAACACAATACTCAAGGTGTGGCCTCACCAGTGCTGAGTACAGGGGAAGGATCACTTCCCTCGTTCTGTTGACCACACTGTTCTTGATGCAGGCCAGGATGCCATTGGCCTTCTTGGCCACCTGGGCACACTGCTGGCTCATGTTAAACTTCCTGTCAATCAGCACCCCCAGATCCCTTTCCACCTGGTTGCTCTCCAGCCACTCTGTGCCCAGTCTGTAGCGCTGCAGGGGGTTGTTGTGGCCAAAGTGCAGAACCCGGCACTTGGCCTTGTTGAACTTCATCCTGTTGGAATCAGGCCAACTCTCCAGCCTATTCAGGTCCCTCTGCAGAGCCCTCCTGCCTTCCGGCAGGTCGACATTCCCTCACAACTTGGTGTCGTCTGCAAATTTGCTAATGATGGACTCAATCCCCTCATCTAAATCATCGATAAAGATGTTAAACAGGACTGGGCCCACCACTGATCCCTGGGGGACACCACTGGTGACTGGCCGCCAACTGGATGCAGCCCCGTTCACCAGTACTCTCTGTGCCTGGTCCTCCAGCCAGTTCTTAACCCAGCATAGAATGCCCCCTGTCCAAGCCATGGGTTGCCAGCTTTTTCAGGAGTATATTATGGGAGACAGTGTCAAAGACTTTGCTGAAGTCCAGATAGACCACATCCACAGCCTTCCCTTCATCCACCAGGTGGGTCACCTGATCATAAAAGGAGATCAGGTTGGTCAGACAGGACCTGCCCCTCCTAAACCCGTGCTGGCTGGCTCTGATCCCTTGTCCATCCTGTAGGTGTCGTGTGATTGCACTCAGGATGATCTGCTCCATAATCTTGCCAGGCACTGAGGTCAGGTTGAAAGGCCTATAGTTTCCCAGGTCTTCCTTGCAACCCTTTCTGTAGATCGGCATGACATCTGCCAACTTCCAATTGTCTGGGACCTCTCCAGAGAGCCAGGACTGTTGGTAAATGATGGAGAGCAGCTTGGCAAGCTCTTCTGCAAGCTCCCTCATCACCCTAGGATGGATTCCATCTGGTCCCATAGATTTGTGTGGATCCAGGTGGTTCAATAAGTCACTATTTCCTCCTGGAATACAGGGGGGCTGTTTGGCTTCCTGTCCCTGTCTACCAGCTCCAGAGGACAGTTGTCCCAAGGGTCATCTGTTCTACTGGTGAATACTGAGGCAAAGTAGGTGTTAAGTACTTCAGCCTTCTCCTCATCCCTGTTAACTATGTTCCCCTCCAAGTCCAACAAGGACTTTGCCCCTCCTTTTGTTATTAACGAATTTATAGAAGCGTTTTTGTTATCCCTGACAGAAGTAGCCAAATTGACTTCAAATTGCACTTTTGCCTCTCTAATTTTCTGTCTGCATGACCTAATTATACTCCTAAACTCATCCTGAGTAGCCAGTCCTATTTTCCATAGTCGGTAAGCTCTCTTTTTATCCCTGATTTCCTTCAGAATCTCCCTGTTCAACCAAGTTGGTCATCTACCTCGCCAGCTTGCCTTTTGGCACACTGGTACAGCCTGTTCCTGTGCATTCAAGACTTCCTTCTTGAAGCACGTCCATCCCTCCTGTACCCCCTTGTTTTCCAGGGTTATTTCCCAGGGTATGCTCTGGACCAGTCTTCTGAACAGGTCAACATCTGCCCTCCGGAAGTCCAGTGTGGAGGTTTCATTGATGGCCTCCCTTGTATCCCTGAGTATTGCAAACTCTATTATTTCATTGTCACTGTGGCCTATGCAGCACCTAACCACTACGTCTCCCACCAGTGCCTCTCTGTTTGTAAACAACAGGTCTAGGGGGGTCCCACCCCTGATAGGTTCATTTACCAGTTGGAGCAGGAAATTATCCTCTATACACTCCAGGAATCTCTTAGACTGCCTCTTCTCTGCCGTGTTGAGCTCCCAGCAGATATCTGGCAGGTTGAAGTCGCCCACAAGAACAAGGGTTGGTGATTTTGCGACATCTGCCAGCTGCTTGTAGAATAATTCATGCCCTTCATCATCCTGGTTGGGTGGTCTATAACAGACTCCCATTAGGATGTCAGTCTTGTTGGCCTTCCCCCTGATTCTGATCCACAGGCACTCGACCTTATCATTGGTGACCTCAAGTTCTACAGAGTCAAGGGACTCTCTAACATATAGAGCCACCCCTCCACCCCTCCTACCCTGCCTGTCCTTTCTGAAGAGCTTGTAACCATCCATGGCAGCACTCCAGTCATGCGAGTCATCCCACCACGTTT